TGAACAGTAAATTGGGACTTTAATATTTTAATTTTTTAATTAAATGTTTTATCTATTTCGTGGTAGTATTGATAGGACCAACTATGATAAGCATCATACATAGCTCATAACTAAAGGCACGATAAGAGAATTGAACTAGCCGGCACAAAATACAATATATTGAACATAAATGCAGTTGCAAGAAAAAGTATGTGAACCCTTTGGAATGATATGGATTTCTGCACAAATTGGTCATAAAACATGATCTGATCATCATCTAAGTCACAACAATAGACAATCACAGTCTGCTTAAACTAATAACACACAAAGAATGAAATGTTGCCATGTTTTTATTGAACACACCATGTAAACATTCACAGTGCAGGTGGAAAAAATATGTGAACCCCTAGACTAATGGCATCTCCAAGAGCTAATTGGAGTGAGATGTCAGCCAACTGGAGTCCAATCAATGAGATGAGATTGGAGGTGTTGGTTACAACTGCCCTGCCCTATAAAAAACACACACCAGTTCTGGGTTTGCTTTTCACAAGAAGCATTGCCTGATGTGAATGATGCCTCGCACAAAAGAGCTCTCAGAAGACCTACGATTAAGAATTGTTGACTTGCATAAAGCTGGAAAGGGTTATAAAAGTATCTCCAAAAGCCTTGCTGTTCATCAGTCCACGGTAAGACAAATTGTCTATAAATGGAGAAAGTTCAGCACTGCTGCTACTCTCCCTAGGAGTGGCCGTCCTGTAAAGATGACTGCAAGAGCACAGCGCAGACTGCTCAATGAGGTGAAGAAGAATCCTAGAGTGTCAGCTAAAGACTTACAAAAGTCACTGGCAAATGCTAACATCCCTGTTAGCGAATCTACAATACGTAAAACACTAAACAAGAATGGATTTCATGGGAGGATACCACAGAGGAAGCCACTGCTGTCCAAACAAAACATTGCTGCACGTTTACAGTTTGCACAAAAGCACCTGGATGTTCCACAGCAGTACTGGCAAAATATTCTGTGGACAGATGAAACCAAAGTTGAGTTGTTTGGAAGAAACACACAACACTATGTGTGGCGAAAAAAAGGCACAGCACACCAACATCAAAACCTCATCCCAACTGTGAAGTATGGTGGTGGGGGCATCATGGTTTGGGCCTGCTTTGCTGCGTCAGGGCCTGGACGGATTGCTATCATCGAAGGAAAAATGAATTCCCAAGTTTATCAAGACATTTTGGAGGCGAACTTATGGCCATCTGTCTACCAGCTGAAGTTCAACAGAAGATGGGTGTTGCAACAGGACAATGACCCAAAGCATAGAAGTAAATCAACAACAGAATGGCTTAAACAGAAGAAAATACGCCAAGAAAGCGATTCACAACAGACATCCCAAGAATATTGCTGAACTGAAACAGTTCTGTAAAGAGGAATGGTCAAGAATTACTCCTGACCGTTGTGCATGTCTGATCTGCAACTACAGGAAACGTTTGGTTGAAGTTATTGTTGCCAAAGGAGGTTCAACCAGTTATTAAATCCAAGGGTTCACATACTTTTCCCACCTGCACTGTGAATGTTTACATGGTGTGTTCAATAAAAACATGGCAACATTGCATTATTTGTGTGTTATTAGTTTAAGCAGACTGTGATTGTCTATTGCTGTGACTTAGATGATGATCAGATCACATTTTATGACCAATTTGTGCAGAAATCCATATCATTCCAAAGGGTTCACATACTTTTTTTTGCATCTGTATATAGGAACACAACAGAGCATAGCACAAATTGCACTGTATATAGACACAAGATACAATGGTAAGATTGAATTAAAATAATTCACATATTACACAAATACTTTATGACAGAACTTCAAAGAGGGTTTATTGTAAGGATGGTTTAAAGTTTACTAACTATAAGATAAGTTAGAAAAGATATATATTTTGATGTAACATAAGAGGTTCTTACTTATCCTACACATTAAAATATGATCACATATTGTAACACAAGCACATAAAATAGGGTAATATCTAAATAAATGACGGAGTGCACTTATAATAAGAAGATATAGTAATAAGGAAATAGTTGGTATAAGTTTTTTGTTTTTTCTTCTCAGGCTCTCCAATACATATCAAGAAACATATATTGATAATAATGTTCGCTTCAACCGGTAGAGTACGCCTGCCGTAGGTTCATTGAACTTAGTAGTTTGTCCCACCTCCCTTGGTAAGTCAGGGGTAGTCGGTTATACTTATTCCCTCTATTTAGAGGAATTAGTTTGTGGTATGTCTTTCTTGAGGTTCAAGAAAGCTTTCACAAATGTGGTTTTTGTATGTATGTATACATGCCACTGTAGTACCTATCCTTAAAAAAACATCTCTTGACCCATCCTCCCCTTCTAACTATCGTCCCATATCCATGCTCCCTTTTCCCTCAAAGCTTCTGGAAAGACTTGTCTTTACCCATGTGTCTCACTTCCTCAATTCCAACTCTCTCCTTGACCCTCTTCAGTCTGGCTTCCGCCCTCTCCACTCTACTGAGACTGCGCTTATCAAAGTTACTAATGACCTAATCACAGCTAAATCCAAAGGCCACTACTCCATACTAATTCTTCTTGACCTCTCTGCTGCCTTTAAGACCATTGATCATGCTCTCCTCCTTCAAACTCTTCAATCACTCAGTCTCTGTGACACTGTCCTCTCATGGTTTTCCTCTTATCTCTCCCAACGCTCATTCAGTGTCTCCTTTTCTAATGACACCTCCTCCCCTCGTCCTGTCTCAGTTGGAGTCCCCCAAGGCTCTGTACTTGGTACCCTTCTATTTTTTCTTTATACTGTCTCTCTTGGCAAACTTATTACCTCTTTTGGATTCCACCACCATCTGTACGCTAATGACACCCAGATATATCTCTCCTCCCCGGACCTCTCTCCTGCCGTCCTGCAATGTGTCACTGCTTGCCTTTCTTCCATCTCTGACTGGATGTCCTCCCGCTTTCTGAAACTCAATCTCTCTAAAACTGAGCTCCTTGTCTTTCCTCCTCCTAATACTGATCCTCCTCTTTCGCTCTCCCTTCAAGTTTGTGGTACCCACATCAGTCCATCCTTGCAAGTGCGCTGTCTTGGTGTCATACTTGATTCTGGCCTCACCTTTGAGCCTCACATCCAGTATGTTGCCAAATCCTGTAGATTCCATCTTAAAAACATTCCGCATCCACCCCTTTATTACGCAAGATGCTACCAAGGAGCTTGTCCATGCTCTAGTGATTTCCCGCATGGATTATTGTAACCCTCTCCTGATAGTTCTTCCCAAAAGCTGTACTTCACCGCTACAGTCCATAATGAACACTGCTGCCAGACTGATTTTCTTCTCTAGTCGGTTCTCTCACACCTCACCCCTCTGTCAGGCCTTATATTGGCTTCCTGTATGCTATAAGAGTCAAGTCAAGGTACTAATTCACACCTATAAAGCACTGAACATCTCTAGCCCCTCTTATATCTCTTCACAGATCCATAAGTATGTCCCTTCTTGGTCTCTCCGCTCTGCCCATGACCACCTCCTGTCCATTGTTCGCACCCGTGCGGTCAACTCACGCTTGCAGGACTTCTCACGGGCGGTTCCCTTCCTATGGAATAGCCTGCCTACCGCCATCAGACTCTCCCCTAGTCTTGCATCTTTTAAGAAGTGCCTTAAAACCCATCTCTTTAGGAAAGCTTATGGCCTCCCAGATTAACCTCTACCTCATATACCTGTCTCTTGCTCTCTCCTAAAAGGCAGCCCACCTTATTTGATTGCAAATTCCTGTCCTATTGTGTTTTACACCCCACCTCCTATAGAATGTAAGCTTGTGTGAGCAGGGTCCTCTCCAACCTATCATTCCTGTAAGTTTTTTTTGTAATTGTCCTTTTTATAGTTAAATTGTAAAGCGCTACGGAATCTGTTGGCGCTATAGAAATGGCAATAATAATAGGTTTAATTATTTGCGATTTTTTTTCAGTTATGGTTAGATTCATGACAGTAAATGTACAGGGACTTTATTCTAACTTCAAACGACAAATGGTGCTAAAAACAATGAAAAAGGAAGCACTAGATATTTTAATGATTCAATGATTCAAGAAACTCACTGGCAAACGATGAACAAAAATGGTGGACTAATAAGTTCAGACATGTATATTCCGCTTCCCTACCTGATAATAAAAAAAGAGGAGTGGCCATCAAAATGGATAAAACCATAAAAGTAAATGTTACATATCAGAGTAAGGATATAGAGGGTCGTTATATTATTATAGTGTGTGAGATTAACAATCAACTATTCACTTTAGTAAATGTTTATTTACCAAATACATATCCAGTTCGCTTTCTTGAAAAGATTATAAAAGAAATTAAACAATTTAGATCTGGATAACTTCTAATTGCAGGAGATTTAAATCGTGTTCCGGATTAATATAGGGATAAAAAATCTAATACCTTCAATAAGGTAGACAAAAATGCCATTAAACAATCAAAAGAATTAAATAAATTTCCACCACACGTGTGAAAAGGAATATACACACTTCTCCAAAGTACATGTATCTTTCTCTCGACTTGACCTTTTTTTTAGGTGATATGTCATTAGGGAGGAACACCAGAAAGACGTATCTAAAAGATAATGTGTGGTCCGACCATAGTTTTGTTATCTTAGAACTAAATGACACACCAAGAGGTAGAACCAGAACCACATGGCGATTAGATGATTATATTCTTAAAATTCAACCAAACCAGGAATATATAAGTAATGTAATAACAAAGAGAACTCCACACAGTTTGGTGTGCTTTTAAAGCAGTTATCAGAGGTCATATTATTAAATTAAAATCTAATCAAATTAAATCGAGAGGTGCTTCTTTAACAGAGTTTTATATACAGTTTTATAATTTTTCTCAAAAAAAACTACAACAATTTCACTTCTGCGATACAAAGAAATTTTGAAGAAATTTTAAGTAAGATTAAACAGCTAGAACTGGGTATGACTATTAAAAATGTAGATTGCCTGGGGGGGCGTGGCCAAGGACGCATGGAAGCGGTCGCATAAACCGAGAGCTCCGCTGTCTCGAGGGCCCAGCAGCGAGGCAAACAGCATTACCCCCACACAAAACTGGCCGGACTTACCGACACGCACGCAGTGAAAACCATGTCGACCAAATCCCACAAAAAAATGAAACAGAAAACGATGGATTCCTTACTCCACGCACAGCACATGGCATGCCCGCGAGTCCAAGATGGCGAAGGGGAACTGAGATCACCCCCGCGCGAACCCGACGCTGATGACAGCCGGAGTAGTTCCTACAGTGCAACAATGCACCCAGCCACCGATGCCTCAGTAAGCAGCATGCTGCAAAACTTAAAAGCAGACCTGCGCTCAGACTTCCTAAAAATGGCGTCGGACATTAGGGCTGACATCCAGGCCCTAGGGGACAGAACGGCTCACCTGGAGGAGAAGACGGAAGGCCTAATAGACGCACACAATGACTTATCTGATGCACATACAGCTCTAGCAGACAAAGTCAGGTTTCTGGAAGGGAAGATAGCTGATAATGAAGATCGAGACCGGAGAAACAATATCAGACTCCGAGGCATACCTGAAAGCATAGGGCCACAAGACCTCGCTCAATATGCTCAAAAGCTGTTCAAAACCTTGATCCCAGCCCTAGAAGAACCGGATCTTCGTCTGGACAGGATACACAGACTGCCTAAACCTCGCCACCTACCTGCTACCACCCCTAGAGACGTGATAACAAAAATACATTACTTCACGGTCAAAGACCGGATAATGCAGGCGTCCAGGCTAGAACAAACCCTTCCAGGTGACTATGCAGATGTTAAGCTTTTCATTGATCTGTCAGCGGCCACCATGTACAAGAGGCGAACGTTTGCACCCATTACAACGGCCTTGCGCAAAGCCAATATCTTATACAAATGGGGATTTCCAGCTAAATTATTAGTGAACAAAAACGGAGCGAACCGAATAATCCTCACCCCAGAAGATGGTCTGAAGGTCCTAGAAGAATGGAACATACCGATCCCAATAACTGACAAACGAAGAGAAGGCACCCCACCGCCACGTAAAATGGCGAGAGACTGGCAACAGGTTCCATGGAACACCACAGATCCGCAGACCCGCCGATTACCCCGTACCTAAGACTTTCCTCTGACAACAGCGGGACACGTAATATCTTCACCCACAACGGCTTTATTGTATTTCTGTGTAATATATGTTACTATCGCATTGTTCTACTCCAATTAGACACAGTTATGAGAACACAACGATAGGCCCCCGAGCGGTAGAGAAGTACCACTAGAATTACAACTCTACTCATATACGCTTTAGTATTCACCACCACCCCCCACACGGCTTACAAGCTAGGCCAACATATACCCGTGTGCAAATTTGTGCACATAGCCCCAAGGGCCAACGGGAACCTGTATATAGTTTGTTTGACCCCACTCCTCCCCCCTCTTTGCCGACCCATTCGAATCTATACCTGGCAGCCAAGGTAATAGGCGACCAGAGTAAGAGATCCCTCCCACTGATTGACTCAACACCCCATCTACTCCCCAAACCGCAAGGTAGGCATAATGCCGCTAAAAATCCTCTCCCTCAATACCAAAGGGCTGAACTCACCCAACAAGCGCAGGCTAGCTTTACTAGAAGCTAAGAGGCAGAACGCACAAGTGGCTTTCTTCCAGGAAACCCACTTCAAATGGAGAGCTAAACCCAGATTCAACTCCCCCTGGTTTCCGATAGATTATCATACATGCTATCATACCAAAAAAAGAGGAGTGTCGACGCTAATAAGCAAAAATGTTTCCTTTGAATTAATACGTAAAATTGGAGATAAAAAAGGCAGGTACCTTATCATACAATGTCACATTAACAATCAACCGTATACGTTAGTGAACATTTACAGCCCAAATGAAAACCAGGTTATGTTTATTGATGATGTTTTCTCTCTCTTATCAATGTATAGTTTTGGGGAGGTAATCATTGGAGGCGACACCAATTTTCTCTTAGATGCACATATGGACTCATCCGCTTCTAGAACGGTAAATACAACTACATCCAAAAAACGACTCACACTGTCATCCACCATCTGCCAAACACTAATGACACATAACTATGTCGACCCATGGAGAATTTCGCACCCGACGGACATAGACTATACCTGCTACACTGCAGCACACAATAGCTATTCAAGAATTGACAGATTCCTAATCAAATACTCGTCCCTAGAGAGAGTATCCCACACGGACATTGGCAATATCACATGGTCTGACCATGCCCCAATCACACTGACATTATCAGAACAATTCCCCTCCGCTGGCCGTACAACCTGGAGACTGAACGAGACCCTTCTCAATGACCCGGTAATAGTCTCCCACATCACCACAGACCTCCAACACTACTTTGCAGACAATGTACAAAACAACACAACACCGGAATCAATTTGGTTAGCACATAAAGCTGTAATAAGAGGCAGCTTCATAAAACACGCGAGCTACGCTAAAAAAACTCGCCAAGCACAATACTTACAAATCATTGCAGACATAACGTCATTGACTCACAGGAATAAACATACACCGTCACCTAGCATACAAACTGCCCTGCACCAAGCGCACTCCAAACTACGGGATTTTGAACTAGCCAAAACCACATACCTACTGCAAAAATCCAAACACAAATTCTTTGCATTCGGCAACAGAGCAGGAGCAAAATTGGCTTCTCAACTCAAACAACGATCTGCCGCCTCCAGGATTGCCTTCCTGAACAATAGTAGGGGTCAGAAAATCATAGACCCACAAAAAATTGTAAATGAATTCTCAGATTATTACCACAACCTGTACAATCTAAAAGCAGATGGGGGGGTGAAGGTCCCTACACACGAAGATATCGATAGATACCTAACGGATGTCCAACTGCCTTCCCTATCAGTGACTGACATTGACACACTCCGCCGCCCAATATCCCCTGACGAAATAAATAAGGCTATAGCTGACCTCCCCCCACACAAAACACCGGGACCCGATGGCCTACCTAATAAATATTACAAAAAGTTCTCCGGACTACTGACCCCACACCTAACGAACCTCTTTCAACATTGCGCAGGACAGGGAACATTGCCAGCAGAAATGCTACTAGCCCACATTACTACCCTACCCAAACCTGGTAAACCCCCTACTGTATGTAAAAACTTCCGGCCCATATCCCTCCTCAACAGTGACGCCAAGCTGTACGCAAAAATACTAAGCAACCGACTTACTCCTGTATTAAACAGTTTGGTGCACAATGACCAAACTGGGTTTGTGAGGGGACGCCAAGGCTCAGACAACACCCGAAAAATCCTTAGCATATTGGCCACAATGGAACGCAACTCGGTGGGAGGCCTTCTCCTTGCATTGGATGCAGAGAAGGCCTTTGACCGACTAAATTGGTCCTTCATGCAGGCGGTGCTCCTGAAATACGGCCTCCCTCATGAGACTATCAGAAGTCTCATGGCATTATATGCAACACCAGCAGCCAGAGTTTCACATGGAGGCTACATCTCCACCACATTCCCGATATCAAATGGGACTCGACAGGGCTGCCCTCTATCCCCCTTACTCTACATTTTATCCCTAGAACCCCTGGCCCAAAAAATACGCTCCCACCCTAACATAGAAGGCATAAAGATACGAACACACGAATACAAATTGGCCCTCTTCGCCGATGATATTCTAGTGACGCTAGGGAATCCCCAAACATCAGTACCAAACCTTATGGAGGCCCTAACAGAGTTTGGTGACATATCGCATTACCGCCTAAACCAAGACAAGACCCAAGCTCTACCTATTAGACTCCCCCCGACCACTACAACCTCTCTAAAAAACAAATTCCAATTCGATTGGAGAACATCCTCCCTGACATACTTGGGGGTAAAAATAGCGCCCTCACTAACAGAAATCACAAAACTTAATTACAACACCCTCCCCAAACAATGCACAAAAGAAGTCCAAAAATGGACACAGACAAAAATCTCATGGCTGGGAAAAGTTAACGCATATAAAATGGTGATTTTACCAAAAATATTGTATATTTTCCGAATGCTTCCTATCCAGATCCCGCAAACACTCCTCAAACACCTCCAAACCATATGCAACAAATATATTTGGGGAAATAAGAGGCCACGCATACCGCACACCATACTACAGAGACACGTATCACAAGGAGGTGTGGGACTGCCCAACATCAGCCTCTATTATAAAGCCTCCGCCTTAACAGCGGGTATACTCCTACATACCCCAGTAGGGAATACCCAATGGGTTGACCTGGAAAGAGCCCAGTTCCAAGATAACACCGCACTAGACTACATGTGGACCCCAAAAAAACTCAGGCCACCTAAAGCCGACCTGCTCCCTACGACAAAATTTACCCTCCGAGTATGGACAACTTTCCTGGAGACCCTAGGAGCCAAACATACCTTCCACCCTAAAGCACCTTTAACAGCCTTGAAGGCAATCTCACCAGACATCCACTTACAAAAATGGTTGAAAGCGGGAATTACCCATATATACCACATACTTCAGCCACAGGGACTGATGACATTCCCCGAAATACAACAGACATGGGGCCTACCTAACAACACCATATTCTCGTATCTCCAACTCAAAGGTATGATCACCACCCATGTGCACAACCAACACCCCAACCCAAATCAAACATCTCTCCCAACAGAAGCAATAATAGAACGGTGCAGGACAGCACCAACGAAATCAAAAGCTATCTCCCTCTGCTATAAAGCGTGGGAAGATACCCTACCCCCTACCACACCTAAATACAAAACTTTATGGGAAGCAGACTGCTCTATCCAACTCACAGAGAGGGAATGGATACACGCACTCAATGACTTATCCAAATGGACACGCTGCTACACGCACATCGAAGCCCATAGGAAACTATTATATAGATGGTACCTAACCCCAAGTAGGCTCCACAAAATCTACCCAAACACATCTTCAGTATGCTGGAGATGCAAGGCTGCTGAGGGTACACTCATACATATATGGTGGAACTGCCCTAACATACAACCCCTCTGGACAGAGGTACATCGCACACTTCGTATCCTTCACGTGCCCAACACCCCAAAAACCCCAGAGGTGTACCTACTCCTGCGGTTTCCGCCACTATTTGGCAAATCACAAAAACAAATATGCGCACTCACCACTCTAGCCGCCCGTAACTTATTGGCTTTAAACTGGAAATCCACACTGTGCCCAACAAAAGCCCAACTAAGAGATAAAATACAACAATTTTACCTTTTTGAACGCATGGCCATAACGGACGACAACACAGCGCGCACATTCCAAGAGACATGGGCCCCATGGGTCACATTGACCACACTCAAAAAGGGTTAACCAAGAGACATGACCAACATAGCCAGAGTCGACCCACAAAGGACATAAAACTACGCCAACAGGCGTGATTGAACAATTCCAATTCCAATACCAAAACCACACATATCGATAAGTAATCCCAGAAACCCGCTAGTGGAGCACCGAGAGGATGCACGCCACAACACGTTGAGCCCCCCTTCACTAACCAACACACCCCAATTGATAGGGGTAGATAGACAGGGGGAGAAGTCCGATAACGGACGCTAGTTATTAGTTCTTGTTGTTGTTACACGTTGTTCTGATGATTGATATACGAATACAGTGCGGCAAAGTTGACATGACGAGCTTTCATGTAACAAATACTATGTCCCCAAAACGACTATACTGTACAATACCAGAAGCTAACGTTGTGCTAGGGCAAACTCATTTGTAGCCCGCTACTAAGTTGCTATGATACTACCTTGCTGTACCATTATGAATCACTTATGTATGTTTTATTATACCCTTTATGTTGAGATATACTTCTATTGTCAATGAAGCGACACCATTGACCACTGAAAATCAATAAAAATTATATTGAAAAAAAAAAATGTAGATTGCCTTAAAATGAAATTCTACCATAAAGAAAATTTTAACAAATAAACAAAAACAAAAACTCAAAAAAAAGAATCTCTTTAATAAAAGTTAACGATCAAGTATTCATGACCCCAAAAGATATAGCTAATGCGCTTGTCAATGCTTTTTCAAAATCGTCCCTTTCGAATCAACTGCTGTGGCAGCTTCAGATGGAAAATTGGAGGAAATGGTATGTGGATGCGAAGGGAAAATCAGGTATAATATCTAACAATGTTTTGACATTAGCACAAAAAATATTGTTCTAGTCCCACATATAAGGATATGGTAAATTTTGAATTGGTTCCTGTTCCCGGCCAGCAACCGATTAGATCAACGTTGTATGTTCTGGCTGGAAGATCTTGCCTGGTTTTCCTATTCAAAAACACTGGCGTGACCTGGCAGCTATTATTGTAAATTCTTGTTGTTTTTGTTGTTTTATATGTATTGTAACACATTTTATGTTTGTAAAAAATAAAATATGTAGGAATTAAAAAAAAAAAAAAAGGTTAAGCTATTTCTTAGGCCACTGATTCTGCAGACACGGAATTAGCAGGAATCACTTGTGTGACTTTCTGGGGTCATACATGGCAGTCTCTTAAATGGGACTTGGCTAGCATTGTGTCCCATCGATACAGTGGAAGATGCAGAATGCGGTTCCTGACCTAGCTGGGAGGGTCGAGTCTGATAAGTGTTTATGTTAATACAGAAATTTATCGGAGAATTAACAAACTCTAGACAGCAGGTAGGAAACCGTGCCGCATTCCTTGAATAAAGAACAATGCTGTAATCGTTCAGTGTTCAGTTCTTATACCAGGAGCATGATAAATCAGGCCTTTCTACAATTACCTACTAACGGTATTTTCACAGGAATCCAAGGAAAGCCAATACATTCCCAAACAGTAGAATCTCTTGTATTAAATGATATTGAGCTACATTAACTATTTACCCAATTACCAGTAAATCCAAAACCAATAAAGGCCAACACAGTTCTAAACAGTTTAATTACATTTCACAAATATAGAATGGTAGAAAAATACACAAGAATCTTTTAGCGAATGATGTGGTAGATCGTGAACTATTGATTTTTTTAATACAATGTTTTCAAATTATGGATCTCTGTAATGCATAAAGATTTATTTTTTTAATGGATTATTGTATCTTTATTGGATAATTGTGATCTGAGAAACTGGCTTATTCCGTCTGATATTAGTACTATAAACAAGAAGATGATATAAACCCCAGACTAATTAGAATGATTACATGGTAATTCACACTTGATGAAGGCGTTCAGGAAAATACATTGCCATTTAGTATGGAGAGATAGAGCATTGCGAAAAATGGCAAATCTACTGGAACAGCATTGTAAGCACTAAGGCCTGCTGGAATCTCCTGGCACCATCTCTCAGTATAGGGTCAAACTATCTGTGGACAGTTTGCCAGTTACTTGGGCTCCACCGAGAGCAATCATGTATTGCTAAACTTACCGAAGTTCTTGGCTGAGAGTGTCAGATGATACTTGCTGCCAATGAATGATGTGGAAAGTTGCACAAATTAACACTGACTAGAAGCAGAATAAGAACTTCTGTTTCAACCACTTTGTGAAGACCAGAAGCCGGGGAACCTGTGAGTACTAGCCAATCGCAGGTTACAGTGCTTATGGTCCTTAAAGTGCCCCTTTGAAGAAAAAGTCCAATTGTTACCTTAGTTTGATGGTTCCCTTTAGTGCAATATTGCTGGGCAGTGACTGACTTGTGAGAAATGCTCAGCGGGCTTAGATAAAATAATTGGGGCCCTGAGACTGTCTGAAAGGGTTCAGCGACTTCCAATGTGGGAAAATCTCTGTACAGGAGAATGCAAACCATTTACAAATCTATCAGATGCAAGAACTTACAGGTGAGTTTCTTATTTGTTGTACTTTCATTTAGTCTTGTATATTTGTAATGCGTTATCCATATAATACAATAAAATGAGGGTTATCTCCTGCTAGGAGCGTCCCTTCAATATTAACACAAAATCATTGAAATTGCTCAATTGTTGTTTATTCATTTTAGGAAGATTTTGTTTCCCCGAGCAGAAGACTTTCTCTGTCCGTACGGATATATTTATAGTATGACAGGGATTCTGCCATTTATAGTACTGATTTTAGTGTATATCTGTGATAAAAAAATTAAAAAATTCAATAGAAATAAAACACTTGGCAGGACCCGCGTTCATCTTTTCTCAGCTTCTTGCAGTCGCCGAGTCAAATCGTCAATTCGGACATTTTTCATTTGAAGGAGTTGTTCCATTCTGCGCAATTTCACCTGCAGGATCTAAGGAGATATAATATATAAGCACAACGGCTATGTTCAGGCTCTGCTGGTCTTCAAACACTTCCTGGACCTAGGTATTACCCAACTCAATCATCCTCATGGTATGGTATCTTTGAAAGGATCAATCCCGTGGTTTTACTGGCGCTACAGACACTGTAGTTAGGGCACGTACCAGTGAGATAGCTTTTTAGGACAGTAAGCAAAAGGAAAAGGGCCACAAAACAAAACAGAGTGTCCAGCATTTAGTATTTATAAATTCCCTAATGAAGACCCTACTTCTGGGTTGAAACATTGCTGCTGTGAGTACACATTAAAGGGGATTTACAAGTACTAGGCAGTGCTGGACTGCTTGTTTTTTATTTGGATTTTTGGCTGTTCTTTGGACAAAACCAGAAGCCCAGGGACACTCACTTGTCTGGCCTTCCTGGGGTGCGTGAGAGTGAAAACAAACAATGAATGACACAACGCTGCCAGACAGGACATAGCACTGAAGGGAGGTGAGTATAAAGTTGACGGCCAATGACAAACTTAACAAAAGATCCACCGTTTGACAGATTTAGTCAATCTACAAGTTATACATAAGAAAAAAATAGTCCCTACTTTTAAAAAACAAGACTTCTCAGGAGGAATAACAAGAGGTGCTTCCTGGGGAAGTGCTGCACAGTGTGACTGACAATCCGTGTCTCCACCCTCTGCATGAAGACAGTGAATGAGATACTGATTGGCCAGGGCTGTGTTTGGCTTGTACTGGCTCTGCCCCTGATCTGCCTCCTTGAGTCGTAGCCAATCCAATGCTTTCCTATGTGAAAACATTGTGATTGGTTCAGATCAACACTTTAGACATTGTCAGTCAAGCAGGCAGATCAGGGAAAGAGCCAACAGCAGCAGACTGGAATAAATGTAAGATTTTACAATATTTAAAGGGGGAAGGAGGTTGGATGTTGTTTTTAACACAATAGGGTGTCAGGATTATATTGATCCAGCACACAGAATAGTATCACACCCTACAACTAAGGGTAACGTCTTACCGGACCTGAGAATGGCCGGACTTAATGTACCCGAGAATAGTTAAAAAAAACTAGCTTAGGTCAGGGACACAGAACGATACACAGCGATAAGGAAAAGCCAAAAGTCAAGGGTACCAGAAACGAAGGAAGTCAAAACGAAGCCAAAGTCAATAACCAGAAAAACACGATCAGGAACACACTCTCAGATAACCATAGAAACATAGATTGTGACGGCAGATAAGAACCATTCAGCCCATCTAGTCTGCCCAATTTTCTAAATACTTTTATTAGTCCCTAGTCTTATCTTATAGTTAGGATAGCCTTATGCCTATCCCACGCATGCTTAAACTCCTTTACTGTGTTAACCTCTACCACTTCAGCTGGAAGGCTATTCCATGCATCCACTACCCTCTCAGTAAAGTAATACTTCCTGATATTATTTTTAAACCTTTGTCCCTCTAATTTAAGACTATGTCCTCTTGTTGTGGTAGTTTTTCTTCTTTTAAATATAGTCTCCTCCTTTACTGTGATAGAAACAATCTAGGGGAAACCATGACAGGGCAATGAGCTAAGGGAATATGAGAGTTTGAATAACCCTTTTGCAGATCCGATTGGCTGTACCTAGCCCTTGACCCCAAAACGTGCGTGTTCGTCTTTTGTGTGACATCACACGCATGTCGACGTCGTCTTTACCATGGATGGATGTGGGGTTATATAATTGCGTGGGTCTGCGGCGTCCAGTGTCCACTGACATGCCGCAAAAGCCAGGCATGATAGCAGAAGATCGCCGAGCGGCACTCCCCTCTATCTTCGGAAGGTAATTATCTCCATTTTTGTCACATGGAGACAAAGAATACGTGACATAGGGTCAGGAGTACATGTTTGTGTTCCTGACCCTATAGTGTTCCTTTAAAACTGGTATATTTTTAATACAGTTGTGTTTAATGTCATCATTGCACTTTGCTATATAAAACTAATATAGCTTTATCTTATTGAATTAGAGTACTCCAGAGTGTTGGTGGCAAGAGTATCTTCCAGTAACCATAACCCTATGTTTGCATTGGCCTAAAACTGGCAATAGATACCTAGCGCTTGGCAATACTGTACCTTCATTCATTCGTAAGAAGTCCAGGGCATCTGCTGTAAAAACATTTAAGCTCTGGGATTGAGCAATCATTTCTAAATAATTAATATTCTTATTATTTAGGTGATGTGATAAGACATTGTGTCCATAATAACGGAGTTGTCCATTGTGCCATGGCCCCCTCACCTGAACGTTTTCCTGAGATGCCATCAAAGCTTGCTCCTTCTCGGCCAGCTGTATGCGGAATGTGACATCTGAATTGGCAGCCTGGGCATATCCTTGGTGAGGTTTACTGGGGAACAAAGACAATATCAGGATTGGCAAATATGGCCAAAACATACATTCTATGGAATAATGAAACAAGACACCCAGTATGAGACCTTGTTAAACTATGTGTTCTCTATAGGCTTTAAAAATAAATAAAGGATTATAACCGACTAAATAAGAGTCACATTGACAGGCCGGCCATTATTAAACGTAAAGTTGGATTGTTTATCTCTTGTATAAAACTGACGGAGCTTAATAAACTCAGAAAAGTCCTCAGAATTCCAACAGTAGATTGTGGATAGCAGAGTAAAGAAAGGAAGCTTGATGACTATCCGTTTATTACCTTCCTTGATCACTTTTTACAGCGGGCTGCTGGCTGTTCTCTGTTCCATTAGCTTTATGTTTTGTTGAATAACCTGGGTGGTAAACAGACGTGAATGATGAGATTCATTAATCTTTATAATCACCAGCTGTACAGTCTATGCAGAAGCAGAACAAAACTGTGCAAGTTGTATGTGTAGCTTTCTGTATAGCTGCCAAGCTTCAATGAAGGTAGTTTAATAATAACAAGAAATGTACCCCCTAGCTGTAGGTTTAAGGATGTACAGTTATGGAGTGTTTAAAACTATGGTGACCTATCCTAAGCCCCGTTTATCATAACCAGTGTTACTTTTGTCGACTAACAATTTTAGTCAAATTCTAGGCAACTAAACTTTTTGAGATTTAGTCGACTAAAACTAGACTAAAACAATTCAGATGACTAAAATAAGACTATAACTAAAACTAAATAGAAATTTGATGCCAAAATTAACACTAAACAGACGGACTGTGGAAGGGGCAAAGAAACACACTGGGGTTTGGTAGAGAGACACTTAGCGGGGCTGGGAGGACACAAAGAGACACAGAAGTGCTGGGGAAGGGGCAAAAGAGACAGACAGAGGCTTTATCTAAACCCATTAAATTCTGATGACTAAAATATGAATAGAGCAGCTTTTTAGTCAAAAGACTATGACAAAAACTAAATTGAAATTTGCCGCCAAAATTCGATCATAACCCCAATGTCTTCTAAGAACTCCCCAACCTGAAAATCCTCCAATATTATAAGCCTACCCTATTGTTAAATTCTTCCCTAAAGTTAACCTCTTTTTACACCATCCTTCTGTTCGTGACGTTCTTTTTGCAGAAGATTTATGACTCTGCTATGATACAAACACGCCATCATTTTAGCATTGACCTTTATAGCAGTGAAGTTTTTGAATGCGCAGACGGTGATATTTTAAATGTATCTGCTGCGTAAAAGAACATCGAAGATGTATGAATCCTTGAATCAAAATACAGTGATTCATGTCCTTGCTTTCTAAGGGAGATCTTGCTAATACACAGATAACATGAAGTCCTTGGTTCCATACTGAAGCCATTCTAAAAAGCCAAGGATAGGGTTCTGTTTTTAGTCGGTACGGAACACGGCTATTTTAGGAGATTCACTGTGAGGGCCTGGTCACATGTCAGGAAATAAATGCATTTCAAAACGCTTTATGGATACCGTCTGAGATTCACAACCTGGGAGGTACACTTCTAATTTTGGGTCTATTATTCTGCAGTTCCATGACATTTCCCTGGTGTCTTGCTTCTGAGGACAACAGTTACAAGTCACCAGAAAGCTCTGGACAGGCACATCATTAACAGCAAAGGGCATTCCTGCCAGCATTTGATTTCTTCAGGACTTCAGGATACTGCTTGCCTGGGCAGCCCCGGGGGTGGGGGAATTGGCTGTTAGGGATTCTTGTCCGCTCAATACATCCATGCCTTCCACACACACTGTTTTGGGTAGTGTGCATTATTGGCATGCCTTACTAACAGTGATATCATTAGGAGAGACTGGAAAAGGGAATAAACATTTCTTAAAGTCTTAAAATCTGAAATATTTATATTGATTGCAGTGGAATTTCCATGACATTCCAAAACAGTCAAACAATTTCAAGAGACAAAGTCAGGAAGTTGAAGTTGACAAAACATAACACAATGCAGAGCTTCAAAACAGGCATCACCATTGTGCAAGCTCTATGGAGGGGCATGCAGCCTTGTGGGATCTCCCATAGGCCTCAGCGCTGTACTATTATACATGTGCGAGAGTGACACGAGCTACAGCCTCAGGAGGCACCCGGGCTTATTGTATTACAAATTACTATGTATCATAAGACGGGATGTCACCCCCGAGATAACAGAACCATTTTGAAAGGCAATATAAAATACATTAATACATGCTACAATATATCTAAAGTTTGTATTTTATTTTTTAATGCTATTTCCTGTTTATGTAGCTAAGTACAAACTCATGCAGTGCAGATAGGCGCCCTGTGTCAATTGTTTTAATTATCAGTTAGACCTGTGCGCACCTGAAACTAACAATATTCATTTATAGAATTCTGTGCTCTGTTTATTTTACCTGCTTCGGTGTGATTATTGGCTTCAGCTCGTGGACTCTGCACCTGAGTGAAAATACAGATAAACATTTATTGCTGCAATAATTCTGAATTATTTGAATTAATTTATGTGCTGGGAACCATAGCATTAATGTAGTATTAACCCAAGAGGAATGTAAGCCAGGCTACTTGTAAGTGGTCAGGTGTAGATTGGCTAGAACATAGCACCCCCTGCTGGACTCTTCAGCTAGTACAACTAAAAGATATATTTCTTTTGAACATTATATATGGACAATTTTGCTGCTACAATAGGTAGCATTATTATATAGTGTCATTGTATTGTATCAATGATATTTACATTAATAAATATGTGATCTCTGTATTGCGCATGGAAATAAGGTGAAATGCGTTGTGGGGTACACCATTGCTGTTCCAACGCAGTTTGCGTTACCTTGGTGGAATCCCCTGAGGTTTGACTTTGTTTCTGCTTTTCCTCGATCTTCTGTCGTAAAGTATTAAGAACAAGCTCCACCACCCCCGGGGAGCACTGGATAACTTTACGAATCACGTCATCCGGTACAGAAAAATTCAGTTTAGTGAAAACTTTCCTAGGAGACAGAAAAGTGTTGTGGTTCAATGACATAACCTATTAAGTCATTTCTACGTGCAGGCTATCAGATATTGGCTGATGGAAGGCACATCGCTCTGTTAAGAAGGTGGAGGGAACAATGGATTCCAGGTCTACATTTGGCATCTAGATCAATGTTATTTTGTGCGGTATGGCAGGTATTAGCAGCAGCTTTTTAGAAATCTTGTTAAATTTACATCATATTCTAATCTATTTTATCCGGGTGAAATCATACCCACAAGCATCCTGCACTTGGCAATAATCATTTTAAGATTTTTTGCAGTACGGAGCGCTCACGGGAGGGAATATTACACCATAATCACTATAGTTTATTGTAGTGTTACAGTTTATGGTATTACCGCTTATTACGCACCATTACACTTTATTGCATTATTACTGATTTTAGTATTATTAAAGCGCATGGTCTTATTACAGTTTATTTATATCAAACCATTATTTGCTTGGTGCTTGTTGTATCATTAAGGTTTATTGCATCATTACGGGTTATTCCAGTGGTTTTGGTACAAGAACCCTGCTCAGCTTGTTTTATTCATATCCTGTTTGGCTCCATAACTTCCCCCTCACACCTCTCCCCCCCTCCACCCAGCTTTTGACCTCATCTTAATTTTTTCAGCTTTGCTGTAACAATATTTAAATAATTGTTTTATTGGTACTGTGTTTGTCAGTTAATGAAATGACAATTATATTAAAAAAATTGTATAAGTTATACCTGTACTACAATAAAAGAGAGATACACCATCACTTATAAAAATGTTTGTAACAATATCTCAAAGGTTTGTGGTACATGTTGCATGTGTGCACAGTCGTGAGCGGAATAGCTGAATAGGACTGTGTGTGCATGTTCACAGGACATCACATGCCAATCCGGTAGCTAATTTACTCAGTATGAACAGCCCCGAACATCTCGGAACATATGAAGAAAATATCTGGGTCCGGACACCATATCGCGACAATGCGGATCATGCTTAGAGTGCCCTTCGTGGCAAAAGACATAACACTCATATCAGAGAAAATCTACTCAATATTTGTAAAATTTGTAAAAGTTGTATGGGATGGGAAAGGATTGTGCACACACAGGTTAAAATATATTGGGGAACCAGATCTAAGAGATGTAAATGTGTTAGAGGAATGAAGCTCTGAGTCGGTGCAAGAGCCCTTGATATTATATATTGTCCACGAAGTGAAACATTACTAGAAACCCTATGTCTTCAGAGAGTGAGCAGGACTTCTACACAGCGATCATGCGTGAGTGCTTACTTGTTCAGTGTGGTCCAGTTGCTGAGCTTCTGCTGGGCTGAATTAGCTGGGACATAATTGTGCATTTCTACCAGTTTAGGGAAATGAAATTTCACCAATTCTGCAGTCAGGACTGGATGGGGAAACGAAGAAACAGAATGAGTTAGAGATTGTTATGTTTAGTAATGACCTGCATCTTGTTCTGCAGAGTTATATCTGAGGCTTATGACATTGTATTTCATTCATTGACTGTAAATGTATCTATAATCCATTGTCCAACAGCATGGAACTTACACTCTGATAATAACTGACACAAACCCTACAAAAAAAATCAATATGTTTCAACTTTACAGTATCATTCATAAGGCTGCACGCCATTAAAGGGACACTATAGTCATCAGAACAACTAAGCTGAATGTGGTTGTTCTGTTGTGTATGGAGACCACAAGAAGCCTGGAGCTGGTAAAATTATCTCGTACATACACTCATTACTCGCTAAATTGCTACTACCGCAGCCATGAAGTCATTACAACCGACATATCTCAATGACTCAAAATACATAGAATTCTAGAGAAATTCTCTCTTCCTGGGAATTGTACACGTTCTGACAGTTTATATCTAACAAAAACAAATAAAAATTCACTAGAGAATAGAAAACAAACAAAACAATGAAACTAGTCCTCGTCCAACAGGACATTTTACATAGAGATGTATTAAAAAATTCTATTATTAGTAATAACTCTTTGTTAATCGTATAAGCTTTCTGTCGTTAGTGATAACTCTTGTTATTAGTATAAGCTCTTTGTCGTTCATGATAGCTCTTGTTAATAGTGTAAGCTTTGTATCATTTGTGATAGCTCTTGTTAATAGTGTAAGCTTTGTATCGTTTGTGATAGCTCTTGTTAATAGTGTAAGCTTTGTATCGTTCGTGATAGCTCTTGTTAATAGTGTAAGCTTTGTATCGTTCATGATAGCTCTTGTTAATAGTGTAAGCTTTGTATCGTTCATGATAGCTCTTGTTAATAGTGTAAGCTTTGTATCGTTCGTGATAGCTCTTGTTAATAGTGTAAGCTTTGTATCGTTTGTGATAGCTCTTGTTAATAGTGTAAGCTTTGTATCGTTTGTGATAGCTCTTGTTTTATTTAAATATTTTATTTTTCCAAATTTCTTTTACAATTTACAAATTTACAAAAATACGTACAATACCTCAATGAGCAATACAAATATTCAAGTACCAGTAAATGTGTCTCCATTAAGACAAATGTCTTTAAAGTGCATTTATACAGACAGTGCCTCGAGTAACGTTACATATAAGTACATAGAATCCCTATACTTCAAGGCTAAGAGGAACCGCGGTGAGATTACAATGTCTGTAATTTACATAAATAGCAAAATTGAGGTATCACCAAACAACATTCACACTCAGACACACATGCAGTCCCGAGGAGCTGGCGTTATTATAGCCATATATGCAGTTACTTCCCAAATGGGCACATCTTTGCAGCTAGTTTCTCTCGGGGGCCAGACACACCGGGGGCATCACAAACCATCTATATTATAAACCTTAATTGCTAGCCAGCAGCTTGTCAACTATATTTTTCCATCTACTAATTTTCGTCAAACCAACAGAGTTCCCTTGAATTATTCAGATTTCCATTTTACATTGGTATATTAATTGTTTTTTAATTTCAGCCCACTCTAACACTTTATTGCTTTTCCAATGCCTAGCTAGAACTATCATAGCTGCCATTAAAATGTGTATTATTAACATGCTTTTTTCATTAGGCACAGAGGGCCATCCCTGATGTAACAAAAAGCTCTGTGGTGTGAAAGGTATATATATCTGGCAGGTATTATAAATCTGTTCATAGATATTCTTCCATAGATTACTTAGAGATTTACATTGACACCATACGTGGAGATAGTCTCCTTTCCCATCATCACATCTCCAACAAACATGATTCTGATCTTTATAAATTTTAGCCAATTTTTCAGGGACCATGTACCATCTGTTTATGGAGTTTATAAAAATTCTCTACTATATTCAGGCAATGTACCGATTTATTGACTTTAACTATCGCGCTTATCATATCTTGCTCAGTCATTTCAATATGTAGATCTTTTTCCCACTTAGTCTTAGATTACCAGACATGGGACTTCTGAGAGTCCTTTAAAAACTCGTAACATCTAGTAATAAGGCTTTTAATTCTGTGAGTTTCCAGAATCTTTTTAAGATTACTTAGGATTTTATCGACCTGGAAATCCAAGAATTTCGCCAAATAGAACTTAATTCTTAAGTATGTAAATATCTCCTTGTTATCAATCCCGAACTCTATTTGTAGCTGGTTGAATGGCTTGATTTCCTTTCTAGCTATAATCTCTTGGATAGTCTTAATTCCCTTCTGTGGCCATCCGCTGATACAGGGAGTGCAGAATTATTAGGCAAATGAGTATTTTGACCACATCATCCTCTTTATGCATGTTGTCTTACTCCAAGCTGTATAGGCTCGAAAGCCTACTACAAATTAAGCATATTAGGTGATGTGCATCTCTGTAATGAGAAGGGGTGTGGTCTAATGACATCAACACCCTATATCAGGTGTGCATAATTATTAGGCAACTTCCTTTCCTTTGGCAAAATGGGTCAAAAGAAGGACTTGACAGGCTCAGAAAAGTCAAAAATAGTGAGATATCTTGCAGAGGGATGCAGCACTCTTAAAATTGCAAAGCTTCTGAAGCGTGATCATCAAACAATCAAGCGTTTCATTCAAAATAGTCAACAGGGTCGCAAGAAGCGTGTGGAAAAACCAAGGCGCAAAATAACTGCCCATGAACTGAGAAAAGTCAAGCGTGCAGCTGCCACGATGCCACTTGCCACCAGTTTGGCCATATTTCAGAGCTGCAACATCACTGGAGTGCCCAAAAGCACAAGGTGTGCAATACTCAGAGACATGGCCAAGGTAAGAAAGGCTGAAAGACGACCACCACTGAACAAGACACACAAGCTGAAACGTCAAGACTGGGCCAAGAAATATCTCAAGACTGATTTTTCTAAGGTTTTATGGACTGATGAAATGAGAGTGAGTCTTGATGGGCCAGATGGATGGGCCCGTGGCTGGATTGGTAAAGGGCAGAGAGCTCCAGTCCGACTCAGACGCCAGCAAGGTGGAGGTGGAGTACTGGTTTGGGCTGGTATCATCAAAGATGAGCTTGTGGGGCCTTTTCGGGTTGAGGATGGAGTCAAGCTCAACTCCCAGTCCTACTGCCAGTTCCTGGAAGACACCTTCTTCAAGCAGTGGTACAGGAAGAAGTCTGCATCCTTCAAGAAAAACATGATTTTCATGCAGGACAATGCTCCATCACACGCGTCCAAGTACTCCACAGCGTGGCTGGCAAGAAAGGGTATAAAAGAAGAAAATCTAATGACATGGCCTCCTTGTTCACCTGATCTGAACCCCATTGAGAACCTGTGGTCCATCATCAAATGTGAGATTTACAAGGAGGGAAAATAGTACACCTCTCTGAACAGTGTCTGGGAGGCTGTGGTTGCTGCTGCACGCAATGTTGATGGTGAACAGATCAAAACACTGACAGAATCCATGGATGGCAGGCTTTTGAGTGTCCTTGCAAAGAAAGGTGGCTATATTGGTCACTGATTTGTTTTTGTTTTGTTTTTGAATGTCAGAAATGTATATTTGTGAATGTTGAGATGTTATATTGGTTTCACTGGTAATAATAAATAATTGAAATGGGTATATATTTGTTTTTGTTAAGTTGCCTAATAATTATGCACAGTAATAGTCACCTGCACACACAGATATCCCCCTAACATAGCTATAACTAAAAACAAACTAAAACTACTTCCAAAAATATTCAGCTTTGATATTAATGAGTTTTTTGGGTTCATTGAGAACATGGTTGTTGTTCAATAATAAAATGAATCCTCAAAAATACAACTTGCCTAATAATTCTGCACTCCCTGTATTAACATCCTCAATATTCCCCTTAATCACCACCATGGGTAAGAATGGAAACTGTCTGTATTCTATATTAAAGTCTTTCTTGATTTTATTCCAGTGTCTCAGAATACTATCAATAATAATCCAATTTCCTGGACAATCTGGTTTGCTCTTGTTTTTCTCCTTTCTTGTTGCCCAAAATAGGGCGGACAGACTGTCTGTCTCTACTAGTGATTGCTCTATTTGGTACCAAGCTTGATCTTTTTGATCTGTCCTTAAAGTATTAACAGCATGTGCCAACATGCAGGCATTGTGATATTCTATTATATTTGGGGCAGCGAGATACCTGTCTTTTTTTTTCTTAAATAACAAATTAAAACCTATTCTGGGTTTTTTCCCCTTCCAAATGAATTTAGAGAAAGCTGACTGTATGATTTTTAACCACGGAATTGGGACTTGTATTGGTAGCATTCTAAAGAGAGAGTTCCATTTGGGCAAAATGTATGAACGGGTAGTATTTATACGCCCTATCCAGGAAATCTCCCTACTAACCCATTCTTTTAAGATCTTGTTTGTGTATTTTATGAGGGGGACAAAATGAACCTCTATGACTTTTTTTATGTTTCTTGGTATTTTAATACCGAGGAACATGGTATTATCCTTTGCCCAGACAAAATCATAAGATGTTTTAATAAAATACTTGTCTTCACTAGGTATATTGCTTGTCATTATTGATAGTGATAGCTCTTATTAATAGTGTAAGCTCTGTGTCGTTTGTGATAGCTCTTGATAATAACGAAGACTTCTTAGTGTCCGATTACTGACAGACGTTTCTGAATAGTGGCTGTTCTTTCTGAATACTGATACCTCGTTCTGAATAGTAATAGTTTTTTTGATGGTAACTGATCCTTACAGTTAGTTAGAGCTCAGGTACAAACCAATAGCTTTTTTTGTGTACAAATTTCTCAGATCCCAGTATGAATGGTCCTCCTGACACTTTACTATCTGAGATTGACAGATGGCTGCTGGAGGCGCAACATGTGACATCATATGTAACAGATCCCTTATTCCTAAATTACTGTTTTTCATTAACTGAATCGGTATATGGACCTCACCGAACAGATTGCCCCATTTGATTTGTATACCGAATAAAGTACCGAACACATGGACCACCCAGAACAGCCGTGTGCTGCTCGTTAACCCACTTGACCTCACTAACACTTTCACAAAACCACAATCACTTCAACATTCTAAGTGGTCGGCTGGGTGGCCGTCGTTTGGATGGACGAACACGAGGCAGTGGCCATCTTGGTTTTCGTACGCACCCAGCTGTGTTTGGTCATCGAGTGTATGGAACTATTATCAGACACTCGACGGTGCAAACACCACCGGAACTTCCACTTCCACCTGTGTCCGTTTCCATTCGTCTAAAAGGAGCGGCGTTCGGTGGGAGCATACTCCTGAACAAGATACATGGTGTGAGCATACGCACGAACAGTTTATTCGCATATATTGTTATATTTCGTACTCCTGAAAGAGACCGACCGCACAGGCTGAATTCATGGAACTCTTTTGGACAAGCGCCTCATGTGCAGTCAGTTTAAACTATACCCCGGTGGCGATTTGGCTACGTTCGTGGGATCTGAGTGCTTTTCAGATATGTTGGGTGCACAGATCCAGGCTATCTGGGGATATACTACTTGAGGGGGTACCTCACTTTTAAATGGGTGTTTTGGAGGATTACACCTATGCATGTCCTGGACCTAGGAGTTAATATAATTATGTTGTGTACTTTGTGTCTCTCCCCTCTCAGATCCAGTGGGGAATGCCCCTGGAATGTGTTATTGTAGACCCCTTAAATGGGGGTTCACATAAAAGGCAGTGTGTGGTCCCATTAAAACCAGTTCACTTCACCCTCAACACAGAGCCTCGTCTCGTGATTGTATGAAAGAGCTATACCAGCTTTACCTGCTTTTTTTTGCCACTTGGATAACTACTTGGGAATGCTACAGCACTACTCACACTAAGAGGAAAGGACATCTCTGTTGGAAACCCCTCTTCTCTTGGGGTGGCCGCCACATCATATATCTCTGCAGTCTCCATCAGTATGACCTGTGCATCATGAGGGAGGATTCACAGAATTCTGTGCGTATCTACGTGATCAGTTCGGCTTCCCATCACTCGGCTGACGCCCGTTGACCCCCAATACTGCAGTCTCTCAAAATATCGTATTGGCCAGTCTGGCCCTGGAGGGTATTGGGATTGTGGGCCACCAGCCCAAGCACAAACACATGCAGTGCCGGGTTAGAAAAAGCTCTGTGGCTACCTCATACAGTGCTCTGCCAAGAGAAATTGAAAGGAATATAAGGTTGATTTTAATCAAAAAAAGATTGGTGCACTGAAGCCAGGGCCGGATTCCCCATCAGGCAGTGTAGGCACCTGCCTACAGAGGTCTGACCACTTGGGGGCATCTGTTTACTGCAATTATAATGTGCCTTTTTGAGATTAAATACACTGGAGGGGAGAGATAAGTACCGGGAGTCATGGCCAGTGGTCTCTGTAGTCCAGTCAGCCTTAATACTAGACATGTGCAATTCGTTTCGTTCGAAATGTAAATTCAGACGAAATTTCGGGCAAGTCCGACATTTGAATTGCCGAAGTGCCGAATTTCGGAAGTGCCGAAAATGTGCTTCGGATTTCTGAAAAGTGTCAAAATAAACGAGGGAGGGAAAATTACATGAATGATTACAGTATTCTTGACCAATAAGATAATTTCTTGCCCTGGGAGCTCTATAAATGTATAAGTGGTTATGGTGGCAATACTGGCACTGAGAGCACTACAGATGTGTAAATGGTTGTGGTGGCAGTCCGGGCACTGGAAGCCCTATAGATGTGTAAGTGGTTGTGGTGGTTAGGGGTAGGGTTAGGGAGACCTACAGATGTTCTGAATTCTGAAGTCCCGAACTGCCAAAGTTTCGAATTGCCGAAGTTCCGCATTTTGGAAGTGCCGAACTGAATTTCGGAAGTGCCGAAGTGCCGAATTTCAGAAGTGCTGAACCGAATTGCCGAAGTGCCAAATTTTTTTACTTACCCGAATTTCCGAACCGAACCAAATTTTTTGCCCATCCCTACTTAATACAGGAGATACAGTAAAATGTGTATTGTAGAATATACACTGAAACATTAATGCAGTGAGAGAAGCTCTCATTTACATGAAAGAAATATTACTTTTCTGTTGCTGTCTGTCACAGTTATTTACTAAAGTGAGAATTCAAAGTGAATTTCAAATTTAAGACCAGAGAAGTCGAATGGAAACGATAGCTGACTTGGAGAATTTTATAATTATTTTCTGTCCCTAAATTTGAAACTCAATTTGAGTTCTCACTGTAGTGAATAACCCAGTCAGTGTTTAATAATTTTGTGTCGTTTTGTCATTTGATTGAGACCTAGTGATGAAATGGTGCCACTGCAGGGGCACGTGTTGACCAGCAGGTGGCAGCAGCTTACCTAAAATAATGATGTGCATTGTGCAGGTGTCACAGTTTTTGTTTTTGACGTTATGAGGTGTGACTTGAAACCCTGTGGTACTCAGGGCCAGATTTCCCATTTGGCAGAGTAGGCACCTGATCTATAAGGGGTGGTGGAGGGAGATAAGTACCAGGAACCTTGGACAGTGTCCCTTGTAGTCCATATAGCCTTAAAGGGACACTATAGTCAACAGAACAACTTCATCTTAATGTAGCTGTTCTGGTGTCTATAGCCTGTCCCTGCAGGCTTTTTAATAAACACAAAGGCTTTACAGAGAAAACATTACTGTCTAGTAACACCTCTAGTGGCCTTCACTCAGACAGCCACTAGAGGTGCTTCCTGGGTCAGTGCTGCACAATGTGCAGCACTGAAGTTTAGTGTCTTCATGCACAGTATAGCGACACTGAACGTTCCCCATAGAGATGCATTGATTCAATGAGGAAGAGATGCTGATTGGCTCAGTGCAGCATTTAGACGCACAGGTGCAATAGCCTCCCAATGCTTTCCTATAGGAAACATTGGATTGGCAGAGATCAGAGGTGGGTCCAGCCGTGGCAAGATGGCAGACGCTGGAAAAAAGGTAAGAAAACCCACCTTTCAAAAGTCAAGATAGTGGGCCGGTGACCTAAATAGCCATTTTACCACTATAATGTCAGGAATATATGACACTATAGTGTTCTTTTAATATCAGAGCTAGAGGTTTAAAACCTCTTTGTCCCAGATCCTCCAGTGTCTGTGTGAGAGGCTGGACAGTAAGTGGAAGGGATCACTTCCCATCTGCCCACTAACAGCCTCTCATACCGGAAATGCCTTGCTGGGGGAGCAGGGGAGCTCTGAGCGATGCACACTGTATAACAGCTCCTGCAACTCTAATATGAAACTGACTGCGGTATAGAACACTTTACCAATAACCCTTCAAACTCCAGCACTCAAAGCCTTAACCTGAAAATAAACCCCTTAGGTTTTACTAAACACCTCATGTACCCCATTCTAACACTTATCCCAATAATCCTACATAGCCTTTATACTACAACTTTAACCCCATCTAAGCTGTTAATCATCTTAAAACACTAGACACCCCATGTAATTTAACTCTAATGTTAACCCCTCTTTAACTTTAACTCTATCCATGTCTAACTTTATCTTTAACCCTGCGTTGCATTTACACTGTACATACACTCCATGTACTCACAGATTCACACACAATACATTACAAGCAGAGAAGAAATATGCACATACAGACATTTGTACATACGGAGTAGTGAAATATGAATATGTTTTTAGATGGTTTAGGCCTGCAATGCCCAAGTAATAAATCCATTATACTCACTTTATCTCCCTTTTGGGGGGTTTGTGAGCAGAGGGTGCCTTAGAATGTTGTGCGTACATACCCCTGCCATGTAATCCGACCCTGCAGGGAGTCTGTGTCTCAGGAAGCCTGGAAGCTGTACTTCACCCATGCCACTTCTCTGGAGACTGATTTTAAGGGATAAAAGACTATATAGAAGTTGGGCAAGTGGCGAAACAAAAAGCAGTTACCATGGAAACTTGGAGGATGTGCCTCCCTGTTTTGCACCATGCTCCAGTGTTGTTCCATGTTGTTATCAGTGGCGGCTGGTGAAGTTTTAACTTAGTGTTGAGCCAGACTCCACCCTCGGATTTTACTTCTCCCTATACAGTAGGGATATTCAATGTCAGGATTACTGTTGATGCCCAACAAGCAGAACTTAAGTAGATATGAAGAAAATTCCTAAGAGGTATTACCGGGCCTTAGAATGTCCGGATTTAACGTATAAAGGAAAAAAAACACAAGACAGGATAAAGACAAGACGTAGAAATAACATAAACAATGGACAAGCCACAAGTCAAGGAATGGAGATATCAGAATAGTCAAAAGGGAAGCCAAGGTCAATACACAAGAATCAATACAAGGAACGCACTCTCGGATAACCACAATGGAAACCACGACAGGGCACAGAGAAATGGACAAAACAGGTTTATATAGTTTAAGGGGCTCCATGATTGGCTGCAGGGAAGCATGTGATCATGGGCGTGTATGTGATACACCTACAAGATTAAAACTGATATGGCATTTTAAGGATTACATTGTAAAACCCTTAAAATCTTCAAAGCTGCAGCGGCCGGCGTCTCTAATGATTGCAGACCCGGCCGCTGGGTGAGGAGGAGGAGCTACCATCCAGTTCAGGTGAATGATTGGCGGCATTCCCATTACCACTTGGAAATGCCGCCAGACCGAGGAGTGCCGCCGTGTCTCAGTCCGCTCCCGGGCGTCTGTAGGAAAGGTAAGTATTCAGCAGCATTCCCCGGTTTCGTGACACTCACACAATACAGAGAGCTGAGCATAAAACAGAGATACTCATACAATAAAATAAGTGGGGCACAACAATCAGATTAGTCCTCAGAGTCACAGCCCCAGTCCTGCAGTTTGAAGCTTCACACAATTTTAACTAGCCACAGCATGAGTATCTTGGGTCTCAGCTGTAGAGTGACTGAGCACTGAGATGGTGGGTATGTGCAGTGGGTGTTATTAAAACTACTAGTGACAGGCAGCACAGTGCTTGGTGTGAAATCCCCCTCCCCTAGCCACCCCTGGCTTTATATATATATATACACACATTTGTTTGAGTAACGTCCCTTGCTTAATCAGCCATCAGGCAGTCACTGGGTCTATTGGGGCAGAGAACAAGATAATATTATACACTTACATCTGACAGGAGCTGCTGCTGTGCTCTCTCTGTACTGCTTCCAAGATGGCTTCTTGCTTCTCTCTCCTGGGGGCAGTGCGAACCCTGGTGCTATCAGCCATATGATGGACCCTGAATCGAGAGGCCAATCGCATGCCACCACTTATGGGTAGCTGGCCCTGCTGCTTAAATGGCAACTCAATGGAAATTCCTGAAATGCCTTCTTAAAGGAGACTAGGTGTCATGCCGCCTGCCGGCCCGCTCCTGCCAGAGAGCGGTATGGGTACCAGCGAGCGCATCTCGTAGTGGTTGCATTCACACACCGCAAGGGGAATGCCGCCGAATACTCACCCTGTCTCAAAGCGCCCGCCGAGGCCTCTCCTGCCCGGGAGCGGACTGGGACCCAGCAGGCACATCTCGTTGCGGCTGCATTCCCACGTGGTAATGGGAATGCCGCCGATCACTTACCTCTTCCTACGATGCCTGCTGTCCTCTGACAGGCACTCCTCCCCTCACACAGCGGCCGGGTCTGTAATCATTAGAGACACCGGCCGCTGAAAGTAAGAACCTTTTAAGGTTCTTACTTAACCCTGTGAGTGCCTAACTATGGGAGCGTGTGTGTGACTTCACACTCACAAACGTTCACTGTCACGTGCTCCCTTGCAGCCAATCAAGGAGCACCTTAGGCTATTTAAACCTTTTTCCTTCATTTCTCTGTGCCCTGTCGTGGTTTTTGACCTTGGCTTTCCTACTAACTATTCCGAGCACTTGACCTTTGGCTTGGCTCCTGACCATTCTGACTTCTATATTCCTTGATCTTTGGCTTTCATACCGTTTATAATATCTGTATTCTTGACCTCAGCCTTTTCTTTTTATACGTTAAATCCGGCCGTTCTAAGGTTCTGTGTGTTGGGCATATTAGTGTATCCTGCAAAACCTGCTGAAACTGGGCAGTTTTCAAAACAGACCCATTGACGTGCCTAGAATCTGTCAGAAAAGCTCCTCCAAACAGCTACCAATGAGGGGGGAGGGGCCCTGCACAGGGCTGGATTTACATAGGGGCTGATGGAGCTGCAGCTCCAGCTCCATTCCCATGGAATAGGTCCATCGCTAAAAATGTTATGTTATTATTTATATAGCGTCATGAAATTCCGTAGCGCTTTACAGTTGGTGGACGAACAAACATGTAGTTGTAACTAGACATGTTGGACACATAGGAACAGAGGGGTTGAGGGCCCTGCTCAAGGAGCGTACATGCTAGAGGGAGTGGGGTAAATTTGTAATTTTATTTTTTACACTACATTTCACATGTCTATGTAGGAAAACAAAACTTGTGTGGACTATGCAAATACTCTTGCTGCTTCAGTCTCTCAGTCTCTCTAACTTGGTGGCATGTTCCCTTTCTTCTACACTCACTACCTACATGTTCTCTGTCCCAGACTGTATAACAGAAGATTCTCTCTAGTAAGGAAGTTAGGAGAGGAGTGGACCAGTGAGTGCTAGGAGACAGTGCTAAGAAAGCCTAGAGCTAGCGCATCATTAGACGCATTAATGCCAAGCTCAGGGTGCTGTCTGTATAGTATGTCCTTAGGTGGCCAACCTGCATGATTGGCAAGGCAGCATGATGTGCATTCACGCCAGGCTGCCCTAATTCCTCAGGAAGATTGTTTTAGGCATGTTTGCCCATTTGGGTGATTCGAGTTAGTGGCCCGGCCACCGAAATCCTGCTTCACCGGACACTGCTGTTAGAGGGTATGGATTCACTGCTGATAGGGGGTATGGATTCACTGCTGTTAGGGGGTATGGATTTCCTTAAAAGATGAAAGTGAGAAATTAGCTTAGGGTATGTGTTTTCTGATAGCTATATCCTGTGAGTTTCCCTCCAGCACCATCTCCACCAGATACATGACGCTTGGGAGGAATAACTGTTTTAGTGTTTTCTGTTGATACGAGTCTATAATTAGGCCCATCATAATTGTCAGCACCAGCCCAATTGACTCTTAATATGGCCCTGGCCCTGCAGGACTGAAAACTATTACAGAATTAAAGAAACACTAATTTTTTCCCCAGATTTTTTTGGTTTACCACCCTCTGGTCCAGAAAATAATCTTTATTTTTCAAAGCTACTGCAAATAATTTTTCCCCACATAAAAACTGGTGGGGCTTGACCCAAGTGCCTCTCTGGATGAGCCTCCAGTGGTTCTTGCTAATCTGATTGCAAGCTCAGTCAGACAGTCAGACAGGATCTGTTATTCGTGTTCTGTTAATTATCTGGGTGTAACTGTATCTGTGTGCATTGTGTGACGAGCTCATTGCCAGCAGAACCTTAATAAATACTTAATAACACAAGTGGGCAGTTAACATATCTGCATTTTAGCTGGGGAGGACTCTGGGATGTCCTGGGGCATGTGAGGTTAATTACTGATACTACAAAGCTGAAACTGCATTGTGCAGAGAGAAAGCGGTCATTATATGAGTTAAGGAACACTATAGCGTTGCAGATACAAACTTGTATTAAAAATGCTATAGTGTCCCTGTCCACATTCAGATATAAGTCCTCCCTTGTTTGCATTAAAAATGTGTGAATTAAACGCTTAACCTAACAGTCTCCAGTGCTGAAAAGATCCATTGCCCCTGCCAGTGGCAGTCAGCACTTCCTGAATTTCAGAAGCTCGATGTCGCTGGAAAGTTTGGAGATCTGACAATGGATCCAACCTTTGGAGTTAAACCATTTGAAAGCGGTTTAACCTCTTCAGGTTAGAAAAGGCCTGGGGACCTCCTTGCACCAACTTCATTTCGAAGATCTGAAGATGAGTGTCTCTTTAACCCTGCAACGAAAAGCATTGCAGTTTCTAAAAAAAAAAAAAAACTGCAATGTTTTAAATCCGAAGGTTAATACGACAGGTTCTCTGCACCATTCAACGAGATTAAGTGGTCTGGGTCCATTAATATGAATTGAAAGGCTTTAAATCCATCTACCTGGATTCAGGGGAGGGATGAAAATGTTTGACTTAGGATGGTTAAAGCAAAAGGCTTTTTGGTGACATCATATATCCCCCAACCACCATCACAGCGGCCTGCACAGCATGACAGAGCATTCACAGAGCCCTCAAAAGCCTTGGGAAGGGGGAAGGAGGAAGGGGGAAGGGGGGGTATACTATGATCCAATTATTAATTATACCAATTAGCTTCTTGTGAGTGGGTTTATATATGTTATAAGTCAGTTAGAGGTCTATTTACTATATAACAAATTGAAGTAAATTGAAAAACAAATTATAACATTTAGAGTCAAGTGATGATTTTGAGAAATACTCCATTTCTGATAGTAACAGCTTTTTCAGTTGACGACAAGTTGGTGTTTAGTAGCTAAATCTCAATGTCTGTTGTTATTACCACACCCACTGGAAGGCTTTTCCCAGTAACAACTACCCTTTGCATAATATACTCCTCAAACATATTAGCCCTCAGGACACTAAGTGCATTCTCATTGCACACCTGTTTTTTGTTTGGTATTTGATTTCTTCTACTTCCCTTTTTCTGCAGAAATGAATATGAAGGTTATATAAAGGTTGATTTGCGTGAATATACATTCTGATCATATTTTAACGCAGTGTGAATGATTATGTAAAATGAGATGCTAATCGTTGTTTACCGGGAGAAGAAGAGAACGTTTCCTAGTGACACGTTTATTCTCTGGCACGGTTTTAACCAAAGTGTGATTTGTAGGGAATTCAGAGTGCACACACAATGTTAGGCCAAAATCGTGTATTGGAAAAAAGACAAATTTCAATTTTTTTCATAAGCCGCTATTTAAGCCCAAATTCTAAAATTCAGTTTGAATTATTTTACTACTGACAATTAACACTTCAGTGAATAATCCTGACGGTGTTATTTAGGAATTAAGTATACTGTGCCCAGCATGTCCAGCGTCAGTGGGGTTTAGGGGGCACTATCAGTGGGTTCTATGGGGGCACTGTCAGTGTGGTTTAGGGGGGCACTATCAGTGACGTCTACGGGGGCACTATCAGTGGGGTTTAGGGGGGCACTGTCAGTGAGGTTTAGGGGGGCACTATCAGTGATGTCTATGGGGGCACTATCAGTGGGGTTTAGGGGGGCACTGTCAGTGAGGTTTATAAGGGCACTATCAGTGGGGTCTATGAGGGCACTGTCAGTGAGGTTTATGGCTGTACTGTCAGTGAGAGCTATGGGGGCACTGTCAGTGGGGTTTAGGGGGGCACTGTCAGTGGGTTCTATGGGGGCACTGTCAGTGTGGTTTAGGGGGGCACTATCAGTGACGTCTACGGGGGACGTTTAGGGGGGCACTGTACCAAGTTAGAGCTATGGGGCAATTCGTCAGTGAGGTTTAGGGGGTACATTCAGTGAGGTCTATGGGGCAATTGTCAGGGGGGCACTGTCAGTGAGGCTATGGGGCACTGTCACAGTCAGTGAGGATTAGGGAGGCACTGTCAGTGAAGTTTAAGGGGGCACTGTCAGTGAGGTTTATGGGGGCACTGTCAGTGAGGTTTAGGGGGGCACTGTCAGTGAGGTTTAAGGGGACACGGTAGTGTACTCAGCGCTGTAATGAAAAGTACACTCTTTTTAATGCAGTGCCTTTATAAACGGTGCTAAAATGATGCTCACTATTTTAAAGTCACTGTTTTCTTTGCATTTATAAAGGGAATTATTAAAAGCAATATTACAGTAACTATTATTTTATTATTATTATTTTGACCCACACATAGTTTCCCTACAATTTTTAACCTTATTCCAAGCGTGGCTGTCAGTGTTCTCTGATTCTATGACATAAAGTATACAAAGTAACACACACACAGATACAAACCTCCATCACTGAAATCCCTAGTGATATTCTTTTTGGGTCTAGAAAGAGGAATTTTGTCCACCCATGTGTAGAGCTCGTGTAACGTCTCCTCGTCAAACTCTGCCGCCATTATATGATGTGTTTATAGTATCCAGCGTCTCCTGTAACTTAATAATAATAAGTATTTCTCTATGTGCCAGTGGGGCTGGTTTATCGTTACTCTGTCTCTAAACACTTGGTATGTTAATGAGTGTAAAGTTTCATGGCAGCAACCATATTGTTTATTGTTACCATAGCAACAGCTGTGCTTAGCATCCAGGAAGTGTGGAAGGTTTCTGGGACTTGTAGTTCTTGGCTCTGAATCTAGTTTTTATCAGGAACACAATCTTTATTTACTTGGCTCTTGTAGTAACTGTAACTAATGGAAGCTGCATGGCTTCTCCGATTATTAGTTACAGCGACCGTTCCATCGGTTCTTACTTATTAACATCTATGTGTGTTCTTATCACTAAGGATATTAACATGGGAATACTTTCATAACATAGAAAAAGTTTATAATAAACATTATAACAATAGCAAATAGATTTCCAGGAAATCATACAATTAGATCAAATTTAAAAAAACCAATACATTTTTCATATAAACCTGTTGATTGCTTTAATGTTGTAGCGGGACGCCTCAGTAACCAGATCGGTAACCCCCCGCCTAGTTCCCTTCCTTCAGCCGATCAGGAACTCTTGCATGGTTAAGGGACTTAGTTCTATGCGCTCCCAGGAAGAGACGACACTCAGTCCTGGGAGCTCTTAGTCGTTACAAGGACTTTTCCCCGATGCATCCCCTGCAAGCTGGAACAGCAGACACAGGTTAAATTTCCTTCCCTCCAGTAACAGGATGAAACACAGTTCTGGAAGTTAAAACACTGAACTCTGCAAATCTTTATTGAAAACAGGCTTCTTTTATGCACAGTCCCCCACAGGGGGTCTCCATTCCACATAATACACTTCCCTTAGTCCCAGGCAGGAGGGGACTGGGTTACAGATAGCCATCTCCTGCCTTAGGAGATACCAAACAGCACACAGGGATACACTTTAAATCACATTACATTCAGTGGGGTACACTTTGGGACTCAGCACCCCGTGAAGGGAAGGGGTTACGATCAGATGCACAGAGCCCGAGATATCAGCGTCGAAAGTCTGGGGCTCGAGGCTCTGTAAAACTCCCGAAATTAGTCCCATGGCGTTGCTTGATTTAGTCCAGTGAATTCAAACTTCGCGCCTAGACCAAGCAACAACCAATCAGCTGAAAGGGCGCAATCCAAATCGCGCCAATCAGAGTTCGGGGAAGGAAAGGAGTTTCGCCACCCAATCCGAAGAAAGGGCACAAAACTCGGCTGCACCAATCAGTGTTTGGGAGGGAGAGGGGTTTTGCCGCCCAATCAGAAGAAAGAGTGCAAAACCCTGTTTGAACCCAGTGCGAACCCAGTTCTAATGGGTGCTCCTTCTCCCATTGGTCGGCACGGACTTCCATGCGGCCAGCGGGACTCTGCAGCTGTGAGACCAACTCACATCTCCAGCGATTTCCTGCTGGTGAGGGTCCCTCTCTCCGGTGGATATCCCCATGCAGGTATCCACTGGAGAGAGCGCTCTAGCCTCGTAGCTCCCAGGTGGGGGGGGTGACTATAGCTCCGTTATACAAACCGGCGGCCACCCAGGGGAAGTACGCACCGCTTGTTTCCCATGTGGGCTGCGGTTTTCACACCTCGTTAGTGAGGTGTAAACATTCTAATTAAACATTCTAAATGGGGTATCAGGATGGTCCAGGGCGCGGGCTCCGTATGCCGCAGCACCCCCGCATGGTTGAAAAATAGAATGCATTGTACAGTGTAAAAATACAAGGGGAAACACACATTCAACAGGGGAAAATCTTGAGAATACACATTGGGAACAAAAAATACAAAACCAAACATCTGAATACTCAGTGGACATGGCACTTAGTGGTGATGTCCCACCACAAATGTGTTCTAATTTGTTTTCTGCTATTACTGTGTAATTGTGTAAATGCATTTTTTGTTTGAAATGTTTTGTTTTTTTCTTGTAAATCAGATTTTATTATGTTTTCAGACAATTATTGGCCATACAATAATAAAGTAACATGCTTATAATATTTCATGTCTGAACAGTAATAATCAACATAAATAAAATAAAGTGGTGCTGTGTAAACATCGATTACAGCTGTTATAACCCCTGCATAGTTAGTGCAGAGAGTGGAACGCACGCAATGAACCCTCAGGCATTCACAGGGATCATTTGAGTTCTAGGTTAAACACATTATAAGAAAAGGTGTATATATATATTTAGAGAAATTCCTAGAAATCCAGGATTCTGTAGAAAGAAGCCAGTGGGTCCAGGTCGCTAGGTAAGACTGGTTCCGACCCATAGTGCTAAGTATGAGGTCTTCTATAGAACTGAGTTCCTCCATTCATGGAACCACAGTGGACGGGTGTTTCTTTTCCAGAACAGGGGATAAGGATCTCACATTTAGAATGCGGTTCGTCATGGATTTTTTATAATGATAAGATTTAGTTGTTGTATGATGGAGCAAGAATGAAACAGGTTCAAAGAGAGGTGGTTTATCAGAGAAACTCTTGAGGACCCCATGCATTTATTCTCAGTAGGAGCAGATTAGGGTGCAGTCCCACCATATGTGAAGGAGGGTACACTCCTCTTTCTTACATTTCCAGCAGCAGATGTCGATTGAGGGGGTCTAAGGAGTGTAGAAGCTGTGAAGTACTGTACCAACAAGACAGGCGTTTATATGCGGACTCTTGGAATTTGCACAATGCTGTGTCATATCACATATGTTTTGCCACTGCTGGTGGTGCGATGTGAACTCCTGAATTTAGGTGGGGTGTTTACGTATGGTTTTGTTGTGTTGTGTAGAGGACTGAGATCACCTGTGCAACATATTCTGTGTGTTGTAGTGTGAATCGGAATGAGCAGCGATATATTGACTGGCATACAAATTACTTTGTGCAGTCATAAGCTCAAACATGCCAACCATCATTGCACTGTTTCCTCTTTCTCAATTTAAATTGCACTTTACTCTCCTTACACGTCGCTCTCCTTACATGTTGCTCTTAGCTGTCTTCTCCTGGCACAAATTATTTGTCTTACGGAAAGTGAATAAATTCAGCTCACCCAAACTATTTTTACTGAAAAATTGTAGAAACGTTTTTAGGATGCCCCTTTAGCCAAATGTCAGTTTGATTTGGCAGAATTTGGTAACTGAATCAGACAAATCAATTTGGTGCAAATATGGGCCAATTAGTGTACTGCCAAATATATACGTAATGTAATGTTATTTAAACATTTTGCAGCACACACATAGGAACATATTCCTGTCATTTGGTTTACAGATTAAGTGAAAAAAGAGTCAAAAACAGGAGGAACGGTAATAAAATAGATATTTATAATTATAGATAGTTTTACTGCTCCCTTTTTTGTCCTCTCTGTTGGTCACGTCACACTCGATCTGCGAAAAAAATCAGCATTTAGTGACTGTCCCCTGTCCATCAGACATCTTTTTTTCCCACCAATCATCTTTTTTTTTTTTTTTTGGCAGAATTCTAAATCACAAACCAAAACAGACATGATTGGCTATTGCACATTTGATTGGTTCGTGATTTGAGTACATTTCGGCCCAAATTAAGACAGATTTCCATGTCTACAAATTACTTCTATTAAAAATTTCTCTGCCAACCAACCTTACTGGCAGACTATATTCTACTATAAACCTTACTGGCAACTCCTTAACATTTGTTTCGTTGCCCAACCAAACTTAGCAACTGACATCTACCACACTTCTCAAGCTTTTCCAAAATGACCTGTCCCAGTCTTGCCTTATCACAATCCAAGAGTAGCCAGCCATCAGTGATAGAGTAGGTTCCACTTGCTACCCTGCATCTTTGCAAGTCCAGCCATGGCTTTCTAAAACAACTCACGGACTTCAAAAATACTCCAGGACATCTTGCTCTCCAGTAGACTTCCCTCACAATTACCATTTGCAGGTTCAAACCTTGTCCCCTATAACTTTTCAACAGTGTGTTCTTTTCAAACACTTGCTCCACTCCACTCTTTCTGCTTGGGCACCTCAATGTACCGTTCTATAGAGCATTAATTAATCCTGCACCCCTATTTCTCTTTCACTTTACCCACCATCTTCAACCTACCCAGGACTGAAACATTTGTACAGCACAGACATCCCAAAATATGACATGATCTGTTCTCAATCACATCCTAAAGCAGTCTACTTGGCTTTGGATTCTAGAAGGGTATCAAGACTCCATTCTTCAATATTTATATTGCACTCAAGAATGGCCATTAGGCCATAGATTTAACTCCTCAAAACAAGAATATTCCCTACCTTTAGAGGCCTACTTTACAAAGGTTTACCTGAACCACCATTGCTCTGTACCATTTAAATACAAGAAACTGTATATACATGGTTATATTGCTGGTAACATAGGGCATCATTTGATAGACAATACGGCTTGTTGTTTCTAATGCAATACATCTGTATATTTCCATGGGTTTACTGCTTGTCTACAATGATGATAATTCCCATCTTATGTCAAGTCTCCTACTTATCTTCTCCACTTTCCTTCTCCTGTGAGGTTCTGTAGGGTTTCTCTCAATAAATCTTAGACCGTCTCCTTGCACCTTTCTGGGTGATCCCATCCTTCCATGGGTGTAGGAGCCAGGGGAATTGGTGGGGGTGTAGCCTCAGAGATGGTGTGTTTCACAGTTTAAGAAACAGAAGGAAATCAATCATATAAAATAGTTGGTTATGCCATTCTAATAATAGACTGTTAGTAATATATTATTTACCAAAAGAAAACTGCCTGGTTTAATGATGGATCACTAAGTGGGGCTGGGATTATTATCAAACGATGCCCCAGATATTCTTTGATTCCTACGCCGATATATCCTTGGCATATTTTACATCTCTGACTCATTTTCAGACATATATTTGATCTGCTACAGTCTCAGTTATCATGTATTCATTTAGAGTTATTTTTCTGATTTTATCTTCCCTTCCGTAAATATATGCAGATAACAAAAAATCTTCAAAAGACATTAAATTATAGTGTGAATATATATATATATTTTACACAGCATGAATTTCTGTTAGAGTGCTTGGTATTCTCACTCAGACACCCACCATACTCTGCTATATTTATTTATTTAAAACAAGATGTTTGCGTAAA